ATGGAGCGCGAGGGGGGCAATGGAACGCGAGGGGAGAGCACAATGCAGCGCAAGGAGGGGGCGATGGAGATAATGTAACGGTTGGATTGGAGGGGAGTTGGAATACAATAGTCCAGATTCTACATTGTGTAGTCACTAGAGAATCTTTTTTAAAACAAAATAATAACTACACTGTACACCGCTAACAAAATTTATAATCTAATTTAGGATTTTGCCCAATTTCAATAGTCAAAACATTTTTTACACACATTTTGATTTTAAATGAAATTTAGATGTCAAAGAAAGGTTTGAATTGACTCACTTAATGTTGGAACTCTCTGTATGTGTGAAGGAAGAAAGGAGGATAAGATTATAATCTGTCCTGAGCTAAGAATTGTATTTTGAAGTTTTGTAGAAAATTCATCCATCTCATAACATCAGGACATATTGTCTCAGAGATCAAAGCTCAGGGATTCTATTTTTGTGAGAGACAGGCGTAAAAATATACGTAGAAAAAAATTGTTTCTTATTTTTTTCAGATAAATGCAAAATAATACAAATATATTTTAAGTTGGTTTACCCAAAACAAATATTTGCTCATTTTTTTCCAGGTTCTTTGTCCTTGGATTTTTTTTTGATCTTTTCTCTTTGAAATCTGATTTCTGACAGCTTCAGATTTCCTAGCAAAACTGTTTTTTTGTTTTACTTTTTCTGGTTAAAACTTAAGAAAAACTAAAAGAGTATCTAATAAATTATTCAGTTAGGTACTTAAAGTTACATCCACATTCATCATTTTCAATTATATTTTGGTTTTGATTTGATTTTGGATAAAAAAAAGTGATTTATTAAAGTTATTTTGATAAGTAGAAAATAAACACTAAATATGTTTTTAAATTATAGCGGAGGTAAAAAGGATGTTATCCAATCTGAAAGAGAAATAATTTTCAAGAAAATCATTGATAAGAAACGATAGAAAAGTATATTTTACAACACACGTTTTGTTTTACTCAGATATTTCAGATAAGGAGAAACTAAAGATGGCCTCTGACGGGGTTAAAAGGGAATTTAGAGAAAAAAGTGTCTGAAACTAAGGATGTAAAGGGGAAAAAAGATTCATAAAAGATGAAAAATCTTGTTAAAAATTTGCTAAAAATCTGATCAAAAAATCAAATTCAAAATCTAATTAAAAACACTTTTTAAAGACTATCAAGTTTGAAAAAATCTAATTTATAAAAAATCGGATTTTAATATACTATGACCCCTATGGGTACCGGTACCTATTGGTCTCCTAACATTTTTTTGGCCAATTTGATTTAATATGCAGGTTGTGCTTTTTTGTAGGAAGGAGGGAGGGGGGGAAGAGACATTTCAGGGTTCGTTAGGTATTTTGTTATTATCAATTTAAGGTAATATACTTGCTACACTAGCAACTAAACATTACTAATTGCTGCTGTAAAGTTTCAAGCAGGCGTTTTACTGCGTGCATACTAGAGCTCGATATTTGCAGAATAGAAATAGAAGAGTATCTAAGGGGTGTCTCGTAACTTGTTTTTCTCCAGTTAGTTTTCTAATTGTACAGCGTGAAAGATACTAATGTATTGTACATGCTAAAGCGTATTGAACAACGAGAGAAGGAAAATGAACAACTTAATTGCCTTATAAACTTTAGCAAATTAACCTATTGACTTTTCTACCTATAAACTTTAGCAAATTAACCTACTAAACTAACCTATTGACTCATCTACTTATAAACAAACAAATTACAAAATTGATTCAAGCACTGAATGGAATTATCAATTGTCAATCATTGATCGCTGATTTAATAACTAAGTTGATCGCTCTACAACTTTGATTTATAAAGTAATTAACTGAATCAGTAAAAGAAATAGTTAAATCGATTGTACTTTCTAAATGCATAAAAACTCGACTAACTTATTAATATTTTTCCAGTCTAATTGATTTATAATCTCTATTGATTGATTAAAGTTGGGAACTTTCTTATTAATACCCAAAATCGCTTGATCTCGATATCCATTGCGAGCGTTTGAAAATCAATGTTTGATCTCTTCATTTCTGTTTTTCCTGCAGGGTGCGATTACCACTGAATATAGAAAAATTTTTAAATTAATCTGAAGATTAATAAAAGATCGAGATCAGTATCGATTGATCGATATATCCGCAATTTATATTTCGAACACATCTAACTTTTAAACTTAATTGACTTATGGACTGTTTGATTTCAAATCTAAATTCAAAAAGTTTTAAAGACACTATCAAAAGTAAGTATACTGAAAAGCCATACAAATTTTCATTCGAAAAAAATTTTTTATTTCTTTTTCGTTGGTGCCCGGAACACCTGTTAATTTCCTAATTCCTGTCTTGCAGGCTAAAAAATCCTGCAAATGAATTTTCCCCTTTTTTGGCGGATTTTTTAGAAAGCGTTGACAATGAAATATTCAGGGAAATAAAAAGTTAGTTCCCAGGAGCACACTTGCAAACTGCATATATAAGCATGTAAATGACGTATTCTTGCAAAACAATTGCATTTTTGCAGTACTTGGAGGAAACGGGGCTACCATGGATTATGGATTTTGAAAACAATTTTTGTTTAAATCGATGAGGCTAATGTTTAATAAATGGAACAAAATGAAAATTGTGAAAATTTCAAGAAATTTTTACGTAACTTTAATTTTAAGTTAAGCGCTATCAAGTTAATATCCAATATTTTTTAAATTAAGCTATTCGAAATGGATTAAAAAGTTTTAAAGAGCGTAAATTTTATATGGATTATCGTAAATCTTTAAAGATTAATTTCGATATCCAATGTGAGCACTTTTAATTTGAGGGTAAATGTACAATTGCCACAAAATACCGAAACGGAATAAATTCAACCAAGGTCTGCAAAATATATAAATCAAGGCTTGAGTCCAAGATTTACACAAAATTTCTGACTTTGGATTTTATTTGGTTTTTATCATTTAAAACAATTTGTGTTGGAGTCATCATTTACTTCAACAGTTCCGGGTTTTGATATAAATCGGTACTTTTTAAGTAAGAGTGATTAGAAGCGGGGGGGGGGGGGGTTAACCAGCGTCTGTTTTGTCTTGAATTTTGTTTTAACTTTTTAAAATATTTAATCTTCATTTTGTCAGAATTTCCACGCTAGACTACGAACATGATACACAAAAGTAAGAAAGGCATGATACATTTAAAATTTGGCATATTTAACCTGTAGACTTTATCTTTAGATTTTACATGACAAATTACCAACAAATAAAAGTGATAAAAACACTAAAATTGTCGGGATGAAAACTATACGCATATTATATAATGTTATGCATAACAATCAATATCGATGTACAACGTACAGCTAGGGGATGAAATGAACCTTCTGAAAAATGTCATATAACGCCAGCATCTACAACTTTAAATAATTGTAACTGAATTAATTTCTTGCACATTAGCACAGGAAAGTGTACGGTGTGCTGCCGATGTATAGTGTACTGCTAATGTACAAGATTGTATTCTTACCTGTCTAAACTATGTACAGGACTGTGTACGCTGTAAGGTAAGGAACTGAGTACTGATCCTCTAAACAGATCGCGCCTCCACCCCCAGCCTCAAAACGGTGGATTGAGGCCATGAGGCCGGGTCTCCTGGCACGTCAGGATCCGGGCGGGGTCAACAATAAACGGCCGGGGTCAGGTGGCGGTTCTTGAGGCTGGGCGGATGAAGGGGGGGGGGAGGTCGGGGCCTCTGAGAATCAGGGCTTGCCACTGGTTAACCTCTCCCACTTTGTCCCAGATACAATGGATTTATAGAAGAGGGGGGGTGGATGAGGGGGAAGGGGAGGGTTTGGCGGCAAAATCCAAGAATGTGAGTAAGAAGACAGAAGATTTATTTTTGCAATCAAGGGATAGAAAATATCTGTAAATTGCACCTTTTTACCTGCAGTAAAGCTCTATATATTATAGTTTAGGCTTAAACTATTTTGAGAAGTTTATTTGATGTTAGAAATACATCTTTCTGTACTTGTTTATAAAATGAATTCTAAGTATATCATTAGATAATTTGAGTAGATTAGATAATTTGATTAGGTTAGATAATTTAAATAGATTAGAATATTTGATTAGATTGGATAATTTGAATAGATTAGATAATTTGATTAGATTGAATAATTTGATTATATTAGATAATTTGATTAGATTGGATAATTTGAATAGATTAAATAATTTGATTAGATTGAATAATTTGATTAGATTAGATAATTTGATTAGATTGAATAATTTGAATAGATTAGATAATTTGATTAGATTAGATAATTTAAATAGATTAGAATATTTGATTTGATTAGATAATTTGAATAGATTAGATAATTTGAATAGATTAGATAATTTGAATAGATTAGATAATTTGAATAGATTAGATAATTTGATTAGATTAGATAATTTGAATAGATTAGATAATTTGTTAGATTGGATAATTTGATTGGATTAGATAATTTGATTAGATTAGATAATTTGATTAGATTAGATAATTTGATTAGATTATATAACTTGATTAGATTAGATAATTTGAATAATTAGAATATTTGATTAGATTAGATGATTTAAATAATTAAAATATTTGATTAGATTAGATGATTTAAAGATATTAGAATATTTGATTAGATTAGATGATTCAAATAGATTAGAATATTTGATTAGATAAATATATTTGATTAGATTAGATAATTTGATTAGATTAGATAATTTGATTAGATTAGAATATTTTATTAGATTATATAATTCCTTTCTATGATTCACCGAAATAGAAACAAACGACCGAGGGTCAAACGACAAACGGTCAAAAACGCGACAAAGGTTAAAACTACATAAAGTCAAAAAGTGCGACAGACGTGCAAAATTTCAATTAGACTATTTTTGGTTAATTTGAACTATATTTATTTTCATTAGAATTAGTAGCCGCAGCGCTCGGCCCCCTAGTCTTTCCTAATCACAAAGCTCGGCCCAGATCTTGTCTTTACCCTATGTTGTTTGACCCTGTGATGATTGACCCTGGGTCGTTTGATATGTCTGTGAATCGATAGATTTATTCTTCCGTCTATATATCTGTCTATCTATTCGTCTATCCATCTATCTATCTATCTATCTATATATCTACCTGCCTAACTATCTGTCTATCTATCTATCTATCTATCTATCTATCTATCTATCTATCTATCTATCTATTCGTCTATATATCTATCTGTCTATCTATCTATTTATCTACTTTCTGTCTATCTATACGCTCATCTATCTTTCTATATTTATCTCAATTCATGAACACACACTCGACCAGAATTACGAATTTAAAATTTAATCCATCTATTCAAATTCTGGGAATCCCCCTCTCCCCTAAACCCTCCCATTTCGCCTTCCCCTCTTCCCCTATGTATATATGTAGATTTTTTATGAATACTAGCTCGGGAACCCAGCTTTGCCTCTGTAAAAGTCAGCCAATTCTTTCAACGAAGCTAAAAAATTCCCTTGGTTTTACCATCATTAGAAATTTGAGGTGAATCTGTCGAGGGGTACACAACACTTTTTATTTTAAAAAACAATGTTAATTTTGTATTGTTATTAAACATTTCTCTAGACAGAAAAGTCGCAAAGTCGACAAGCGATTGAAATATGACAAATTTTCACATAAAATTTCATTTATATGTTGTAAACAGTTTAGCCTCAAGTAACAATTTTGCGGAAAATCCGCGGAAATTCCCAGGAATCTTTCCTGGGAANATCTATCTATCTATCTATCTATCTATCTATCTATCTATCTATCTATCTATCTATCTATCTATCTATCTATCTATCTATCTATCTATCTATCTATCTATCTATCTATCTATCTATCTATCTATCTATCTATCTGTCTGTCTGTCTATCTGTCTGTCTACCTATTTCATCTTTCTATCTATCCTTCTATATATTTATCCAACTATTTAACCATCTTTTTATCTTTCTATCAATCCATATCTATATATCTATCTGTCTATAAATCTATCTACCTATAATCTATAGCTCAAGGGAATAATATCAATAATGGAATATTCTCGTCTTTTCTTTCAAGTTTAAAAATATACAATTCAATCACTAGGATGAAAGAATAATTTGATACAATATGACAATATGAAAGACTATTACTATATTTTGTATTATATATTAGATACATGGTACATAATACATATTACAAAATAAAAAAAACCTTAACTTTCTTGAAAGGTAAATAATCATATTCATTATTTGATAATATGACATACATATAAATCAAATGATTCCGCTGGAAAACAAGATTTTAACCAAATATATATGTGTACTAAAAAAAGGGGGGGGGGGGTTATGGTTTTTAATGGATTATAACGGCTAGATTCTCACAGCTCAGTTTTATCAGTCCAAAAAATGTGTTAACAAGCATAACTTCCTTATCTTTAATATTCCATGTACTTTGAATTTTCAGCTAAATCCTATATGTGAAATACATCTCACCCACGTGAATGTAGTCAAAATATAGGCTATATATGTGAAATCACGCGAATAAAGGCCCAAAATGAGAAGAAATGTAAGAAAGGCACAGGGAAAATGAACTGAAAAAAACCTGGAAATAAAAACTTGTGAAAAAGTCCCAATTTTCTGAAGTCCAAGGACAAAATGTCACTGGAAATAAAGTCCTAAGTTTTATTTTTCTGGGATATTTTTTACCTAAAAATGAAAATGAGGTCTTCGAAGTTTTCATAAAAGGACATTTCTTCTATTCATCTGCATATTGAAAATCGCCAGAGTTGTTTTCATATCATTGTGCTTTTTTCCATGGTTGAAAACATCCTTTCTTCCGATGCATTTTCCACTAAAAGAGGATTTTTTCTGAGGACTTTTTGTATGAAATCATACTGGAATAAGAAAAAAGTCTTGGAAATTAAGTCTCACAATGGTGAAAGTTTATTTCCAGGAATTTTTAGTAACAAAATTTAGGGCTTAATTTACGAAAACTTTTTACAAACTTTTTTATGGCGGTTATCAATGAGAAAACCGGTTATCTATTTTGTTCAGTAGACAAAAATCATGAAAATTTTGCAAAAATAAAGTAGGGTTACAACTTACAGCAGCAAAGCCTCATCTAAATGTCACGCCAAAGTAATTTTTGAACTAATTTTCAACCATCAAATATATGAGTATTAGCAGTTTTAATTTTTAATCCAAACAACGTGATACATCTGAACTTTCAACAAATCAGAAAATCTGCCAAATATTCCGGATCCCCATACAGAATTATAAGTCACAAAGAATGCGTCTTTAATGATGACTTAAAAATCGTAGTTTGCAGTGGTATGAAGGTTGAATTTGGTCTCTCGCCTTGTTGCCTGAAAGTGATTTTATTAATGAAGCAATACTTTATTAATTCCGTACAGTCGTCTCTGAAGTCTCATTTTTTGTGGGTAGCCCTGTACTTTATTCCATTTTACAGCGGCCTAAAAATAAGCAAATATTTTGTAAGTAATCTTTCTCAAGCTAGTGCAGAGCCAAAACTTAAAACAGGGTGTCGTTATGAAACCCTGTATGGAAACTGGGTATCTTCACGAATGTGTGATAGTTGAACTGAGAATGCAGTATTGAGGAGAATGTTTTTAGGATTAATTTGGGACTTATAAAACGGTTTAATGATGTAAATTACTGAGTTTGAGCGCAAAGTCGACGTTCAAAATCATCCATCTGAGTTGTTACGTTTTGAGAATCGATTTAAAAAAAGACGACAAAGATTGTAAAAATTTTTACAGTAAACTTATTAGATGCTTACGAACATATTTCTCAATTGAAATTTGTCAAAAGTTAATATGTTAGAATAATTTATTCTCTTTCATCATTATAATGAATTTCTTATTCTTCATCAATTTGATAGAAGATTTCTTCAAATTCTTTAAATGTCGTATTGTCAATAAAATCCCAGTAAATCTAAAGAAAATGATATATTTTCTCACCCTGTTCTTAAGACCTAGTTAGTTTACTGTAGAATTATTACTACATTTTTCATCGTCTAGATTGAATAATTTGTTAGAACCCGATTCTCAAAATGATCTCTCAAAGATGAAGCTATGAGGATTTTAAAGATTAAATTTGCGCTCATGCTGAACAAATATGCACCGTAAAAAAACGTCTTATAGGATTCAAATGAATCCTAAAAAATGTCTCCACAATATCTCAGTTCAACTACTAAACATTACATGTTTCCCTTTAAGAAACTTTACTGTAAATGGCTAGTTTATATTTTATTTTTATACAATTTTTCTTGTTGCAAATCTGCATAAATGTGAAGACCTCAAAAAGGAAAGTTCAATTTTTACTTCTTTTACTTACGAATGTGCAATGTCCAAAGTTCAGTTCAATTTTTGCTTCTTTTCTAACTAAAAACATGAACCCCACTTTAATCTAAAAGCAGGGTTTTTATACCTACTGCCTGAATCCTGAAGCCTACAGCTGTAATCTTATTTTATCTTGACCAAACTAAATTCATATTTGGACCTATACCAAATACTTTCAGCCATTGGATTTCAATATTTGATAGCAATTTGAAAAGCCATAATAAAAGAAAGCAG